ATATGCAACATCAAGCTCAATATTTTTTTAAAGTGAATTATAATTTCCTAAGGTGAATACGTTTTAAAAAGTAGTTATAAGGTAAATGAACCACAATTATAAACTTCTCTAACAATTATAAGTAACAAAAATTATTCCCTTCACTATTATAAAATAGATAAATAGGCTAAATGTTTAAATATCTAGAGTCTACCATGTGCTTTGTGTTATATCTGTACTTAATTAATTCATTAATATTTATTAAATGAATAACTAGGCTACACTATTCCCTGTAGGAAGATCCTTGAAAAGGATAATCGAGTAGGTCAGCTTAGTTCCACGAGTATATGCTGGGCAGTGTTATGGAGATATGGTCTATATCCTAAATAAGTATACAGTCTGGGCAGTTGAGGTGAACCAGAAGGAATGGGTAAGATTTCAACATCGAGACATGAGGAAAGGGTATTCCAGGTGGAAAGAGCGTCATGAATAAAAGTGATTAAGTAGGAATGTGTTGGGCATCCAAGGGACATAGAGAAGAGCATAGTAAGAAATAAGACCCGTAAACATAATATTTGGTAAGGTTTTGAATAAATGGAAGACAGAAGATGGTGAAAGGTTATGTTACCATGTAAGCTTCTATGGAAGGAATAGTGATGGTCTGATTATGGTGGGAGAGGTAGGAGTACAATGGAAAAAAAAATAAACAAATGTCAAAGAAAAGTATTTGAGTCTTTTTAGTATAATTCTATTAATTTAATTTTTATTCTTATGATAATTTCCCCCAACACACACACAATTTATAAACGTGAACCATATCTCAAATGTATATTGTGCCAGGAAAATCTCTTCGTTTCTAGATATATCCTGTTTATATTGCCATACTTTATTACCTTAATATGAAAGTATGTTTAAGCCTCAGTAACAGCAGTGGTTACTGATACTGATTGGTACCATCAGAAAGAGCCGTTATCTTTGATTATACATTATATACTAAAGGATTGTTTAGTGCCTTTAAACATAAAGTTCAAATAAATAATCTTAGGTTAGAAAGATTTAAACTTATTCTTTAGCCAGTTTTGTTTTCAATGTGCACTTTGGAGGCCCAAATGGATGCAGGTACTTGCAGCCAACATGACATAGGTCAAATAGTACCAGTGAAAGCAACTATTTACAATTGTCCATATCTTCTTTTCAATTTCAATAACTTTAAATTATGTTATTAAATTTTCTTCACTCAAACTTGTACTTTATATTTTTCAAAATCTAATAGTACAGAAGGGTAAAAAGTGCATTTTAAGGTTCTTTTTCTTTTTTTTACCTTCATATTTCTGAGTGGGAACATATGCTTTTTTAGTGCCTACTTTTTAATTTATGGACAACAGACATCTCTTAATTCACGTATCTTACCTTAATATAATTACATTAATAGATCAGTCTCTTATTTTTGAGATTCCAACAATTCTTTTAACCATTTCTCTTTCATTCTCTAAATCATGACTTCCAGATTGTGCGTGAAGGATTTCAACACCCAAGCTCACCCTACTTCCACTTCTCAACCTATCATCTTTTTCTTTATTTTTTTTGTAAAGGTTCATCAGATTTATTTCTGTTGCATAATGAGTTTTTTACTTTGTCTATATGTAGATTCATAAAGTTGAAAATCAGTAATAGGCATTTGCATTATTGCAACTATAAGTAGTGCAAGCTAAGAGCCCAGTAAAGCTATGATTATATTTTCTTCAGATAATTCCAAATCACCAGCCCTTTGCTGTTTAAAAGAGTGTCTGATGGATTCCTTCCTGCTTTTACCAGTTACTTAAAATGAAGCCACAAACCACTTTAATATTCTACACCATATCTTCCTTTGTCACTTTTATTTCCCTGTTAGAAAAATAAGCTTTGTTTCCTTAGTTCTTTCTCATTCTGTGCATTGCTTGAAATCTATTTCATTTCCTGTAATAAATTTATGAACTTTTTAATAGTTTCCCCTTTATTTTTATTTTTATTTATTTATTTATTTTAAATATGTCTTTATTTTGAGAGAGAGGGAGAGTGTGTGCCCAGATGAGCTGGGGAGGGGCAGAGAGAGAGAGAGAGAGAGAGAGAGAGAGAATCCCAAGCAGGCTCCACACTGTCAACGCAGAGCCCAACACAGGGCTTGATTCCATGAACTGAGATCATGACCAGAGCCAAGATTAAGAGTTGGATGCTTAAGTAACTGAGCCACCCAGGTGCTCCTCTCCTTTATCTTTAAATGTGTAATTCCAGAATATAGTCTTTATATCAGTTACAGAAAATCTCAACATTTCAGGCCTCCAAATTTTATTGGAATGAATGGAATACATATTCCCATTTTTAATATCCAAATTACCATGGCTTGCTTTTATTAAATCAAAATTATTCTGCAGAATTTTCATGTCACACATATAATGAAACTATTTCCTATTTTAGTTTTAAAGAGTACTGCTTGGGTTTTGTTCTCAGAAAATCATATTTCCCCAACTAATTTAAGTTCATTCTTTAATCCAATGGTGAGTGTTAATGCTGTTTGCTCCATTATTTGTTTTAGATGCTCCAGGAGAGAGCAGTTTAACTGTACCTAGAACATTCTATAGTCCCAATAGGTGCAATTAATTGGGTTCAGGCTACCTGTTAGATATGTTGTATATTTAACATATATTGTTTTATAATATATATTATAATTATGTATAATGTTTATTGTTATATATAATATTGTATAATAACAATTATATATAATTATAAAATAATAATTATAAGCATTTCTTATCATATTTAAACTAGATATAATGTTTAACGTATATAATATACAAAATATCCATATATTAAGCAGTGTTACCTCTGATTTTCAGGTGAAAAAGCTAGATTTAGAGAGACTGTCCAAGCTAAATTAGAACTCAGATCTCTCTAATAACAAGATTCTCTCCCTATTACAAGCTGCTTCCATATAATTTACTGTATAAACAAAAACAATGTTAAAATGTTGTTGGGAGAAGTGCTAAAGATTATGGGTTTGTCAGATATTTTTTCTTGTTTAACTGTGAATATATTGAGAACTTTTATTATTGTCATCACGATCACTGTGTACCTAATTTCACATTATGTATGCAAATACCCCAGCATTAATGATAGTATTAAGTGCAAGATAGTCAGTTGAAAAATAGAGGTCGCTAAAAATAAACCAGAGAATAATAGATTACTCAGATTAGTGTAAAGCTAGTAATTAAGGCCCTTGGGCACATTTTTCAGAGGGGGTCCTTTAAACTTTGTTAATTGCAAAATAGCTATATTGCCCACTTGCCATCATCATCGAGGTTCCTTGTTATTTTATTTCTAGAGAAAAAGGAAAGATGCAGCTGTCCCATCAGTATTTGTGGTCGGGACTTAAACTGTCCTGCCCTGCCCTTTACAGTTTATTCATGAAGATAAAACTACACAAAAACCACCCTCAGTGTCTGAGGATCTCATTTGCAGCAAAATACCTGTGCTGTAGGAAAACATACACAGGGTCAGGAGTGAGAAGATCTATGTTTAAACCAAGACTCTGCCACCTATTTGCTAAGTGTGAACTTCAATTTTATCAGTTGTGAGTGGAATTGGAAGATAATATTACCTCTATCACAGAGTTGGTACAAGGAGCAGTGAGCTGTAATCTGTATGAACAGACTTCAAAAATCAAAATGTTATATAGATATATGTATTTATAAGTTATCTCTACTATACTCATATAGTGAAGCCAATGCAATTGAATGCCTTGTACTTCTTTATTCATTTGAGATCCCCTCATGGTGAAATTCCAATCCTCGGTCTAGTTGATTGTTAGGCTAGTTACATCCTTATGTGCCCCATAGCTTGGTTGTCTTGTAATAGGCTCCTATATTCTTAAAATCTTTCCCCCTTATCCACCTAATCTTTTGGAAACTCAGAAAACAAGCCTGTTATGATTTATAAAGCCTTAAAATGCTCTAAAAATATTGAAAATTGAAGTATCATGACCTTTATATCAGAAAAAGAAATGTAGATATAATTGGGCTTCTGAGTCTTCCAAAAGTCAGCCATGGATGAGTGGAGGGAGCAGAATCTGCACTCTTAGATTTGAGAATTCGGTGCAGCCTTCCACCTTCTGGGTATGTAACTTTGAGTAAGTGTAAACCTAACCATCTCATCTGTTTTCTTATCTGCAGAATGGAGGTCATAATGCATACCTCAGTATATTATCGTGAAGGTCTTGGTACACTTCCTGGCATACAGTTGATTGTCAGTATTGATCACCACTTTCCATTAATTTAAAGGACCACCATCGGTCCTTGGCTCCCCAAATTTGCAGAGGACATTGGAATTATTCCCCCAAATCACTAACTTCTCTGTGGTTGTGTAGAATGAAAATTTAAATATTTTTCATAAGCTTATACATTTATCTGTAACAAGACTGAAATCTCAATGATCTGGAATTTTTTGGTTGGAATAAAGCCACTAATACTTATGATTGCTAATAGAATATAATATGCATAATATTCTATAAAAATATAATACCACACAACATATAATATTCTACAACAACATCTATACTATATTTAGTATATGTATTATATCTTTAAATACAAGAATCTGATCTGGTGGGATGAGACGGTCATGCAGTGAGAAGCAAAGGGAAGTGAGATAGAATAAAAATACAGCAGATGAAAGTCTTCTATCATCTCACACTAGAATATGAACTTTTTAAGTAAAGGGGGAGCTGAATTGCTTTTGCTTGTGCTTTTTATACTATTTTCTCTCTCATTGGAAAAAAATGTTTAAAGTTCAATGCATATAATGTAATTTCATTGTAAATTGCCTAAAGTGAACAAGTTAGTGAAAGAGCAAAAACTTATTCAGGTCTTCAGGCTCCAAGTTCAACACTACCAAATGACCATCATGCTCCCAGCCCTTCGCACTCTAATTGGACTCAGTGCATCCGGCACTCTCATTCACTACCCCTCTACTTATCTCTTTTCACACAGGCAACTATGGAGAAAGTGGGATGGAGGCTTTCAAAGATATGTCAGCCAAGGAAGGAATTTGCATCGCTCATTCTTACAAAATCTACAGCAACGCAGGGGAACAGAGTTTCGATAAGCTGCTGAAGAAGCTCAGGAGTCACTTGCCCAAAGCCCGGGTGGTGGCCTGCTTCTGTGAGGGCATGACTGTGAGAGGTCTCCTGATGGCCATGAGGCGCCTGGGTCTAGCAGGAGAATTTTTGCTTCTGGGCAGGTGAGTGGCAATGAGAAAATTCACATGAAGGTAATAATTTGGCAATATAAAATGGTGTATTTTGGTGCATAAGGACAGATGCTTTGGAAATTTAATCTGTGTAGTAGAAGTAGAACTTAAATATCATAAAACAGCAAAGCCTGGAAATAATCATGGAAAATAAGTAGATTTGCCATGTGCTGATTAATGATGATAACAGGAATCAACACATGAGATAATGATTACTTAAGTCTTAAAAAAATGGCTGTAAGGAAATGAGATGGGTTCTTAGGGAATTGGATAATTTCATCATTCCCTCAGGAAATAAACACTTTGAGACTTTTTGCTGTTGCTTTTGAAATTGATTTTTTTTTTTATTTTTTTTTTTCAACGTTTATTTATTTTGGGACAGAGAGAGACAGAGCATGAACGGGGGAGGGGCAGAGAGAGAGGGAGACACAGAATCGGAAACAGGCTCCAGGCTCCGAGCCATCAGCCCAGAGCCTGACGCGGGGCTCAAACTCACGGACCGCGAGATCGTGACCTGGCTGAAGTCGGACGCTCAACCGACTGCGCCACCCAGGCGCCCCTGAAATTGATTTTAAAAATAGTTATATAAACTTGTTTCTATAATATAGAATCCTTGAATTTTAAGTTTGAAAGTGAGGAATTCCTTCAGGACTAATTTTTAAAAGCATTGGAAATGGATTCATTATTTTACATTACAAAAGTGTTATTACATTGCCTGATCATCTACACTGTTACCAGACAAGTTTCTAAAACATTAACTTCTACAGGGATTGACTTTAATTATCTGGATAATTCATTTGATTGGCACAACTTGGCTTATTCCCTGCTGATGCTATTGAATCAGAATGTTAGAGTTCTCTTAGAAAAACAGAAATAGTAGTGTGTGTGTGTGTGTGTGTGTGTGTGTGTGTGTGTGTGTGTAAAGAGAAAGAGATACTCAGAACCAATGGTACAGTTCTGGTCTGAAAGCTGGCAGACTTGGGACCCTAGAAGAGCAGATGTTTGGGTTCAGTTCTGAAGGCCAGAAAAGACCAATGTCCCAATTCAAGCATTCATGAAGGAAGAGTTCCCTCTTATTCATTCTTTTTTATTCTACTCAGGTCTTCAATAGGTTGGATGAGGGCCACCCACATTAGGGAATCAAGCTTCACCACTTAGTCTATTGATATATATGTTAATCTCACCTGGAAACACCCTCATAGACACACCCAGAATAATGTTTAGCCAAATATCTGGGCATCCCCTGACCCAGTAAATTGTCACATGAGATTAGCCATCACAGTTAGTAAAAAGACCCCATAGTTTGACTTTATGGATGCAGTTCACTATTCTATAACTTTAAAAAGTTTTGTTATTGCATATCTTGTTTTAGTAGGCAGCCAATTAAAAAAATAGAGAAAACCTAGGGGCGCCTGGGTGGTGCAGTCGGTTAAGCGTCTGACTTCAGCCAGGTCACGATCTCGCGGTCCGTGAGTTCGAGCCCCGCGTCGGGCTCTGGGCTGATGGCTCAGAGCCTGGAGCCTGTTTCCGATTCTGTGTCTCCCTCTCTCTCTGCCCCTCCCCCGTTCATGCTCTGTCTCTCTCTGTCCCAAAAATACATAAACGTTGAAAAAAAATTTATAAAAAAATAGAGAAAACCTTCAGAACCACTGCATCTTTCTCAGTATTTCTGTCCACAATAGAACGCTAACTCACTTGTTAGTAATTTTTAATGGCTCGTTAAAGAAAACATGCTTCCTTTATTTTCTAAATGCTTAACTGACCTTCTGTGATCAGACTTGGCTCCTGCTTGGCTACATTTTATGACAGCCACTTTATGTACCTAATGCTTTTCTGTCTGACCTGATGGCAATAGATTGATGGGACTATTTTAGTATGAGGCCAACTATCCTTCATAAAAATGATATTGAGTGAGATTCCTTTTTCACTGATGTCATACATTTCATCTAAAATCATCCCTAGTTGGCAAGAGTGATGCACCAGTTAGTTTCATACAACCCAGGAACATTCTCACTGCCAATATTAAATTCTAAAGTGCAGTGTTACCACTGGGGTAAAAAGAAAAGGAAATAAAGAAGCTAGCTTTAAACCATCCTGTTTTCCTTCTAGGGTATAAGAGATTCTGTAGCTCCTATCTGCTACTTTGCCAACATTAATGAGACAAATCAGCAGTATTTGTTTTTTAGCTATATGATTTGTCAACATGTAAATAGTTTTTGATCACATGTACACAAGGAAAATAGGTAGGTATTCACTATATTTGCCATATTCCATCTATATATTTTTATTACCAACAGTACCACAAGGCCAAAATTCTATATTTTATATATACAGATATATGTGATATATCTATATATATGTTATTTTTAAGTAATCTCTACACCCAATGTAGAGCTCAAACTTACAACCCCAAGATCAACAGCTGCACACTCTACTGACTGAGACATCCAGGTGTCCCTATTTTATATTTTTAAAATTTATTTTGTATATGTCATTTATTGGAAGTTCTCTCCATATCATTTAATTCATGGAATAAGAGATGCATAACTTTTACTTAGGTTTCTTAATCACTTCATTAATTGGCTAATAATAATTCAACATTCATTTCACCTTACAGGAGTTTTGTTAGAAAAGCCATTCTTACTTACGACTTAAAAAAATAGGTTCCTATAGTTTCCACCTCTTGGCTCATATTCTTTTCTTTGAAAGTAACGTGATAGTCTTTCAGATATTTGGTAACAGTATGATGGTCGGTCCCCTTCATCTTCCCTTTGAGATGTTCCTACTTCTTCCTTTTCTACTTCTTCATGGTGAAATGGCACTCTAGGTATTAATAAAACCATTTATCAAGACCATTTGTAGAATAATATATGAACTGTTTTGTGCCAATTACTACTCTAAGCTCTGTACATGTGTTGTTTCATTTATTTATTTGATAGATACTGACTGGCTGTTATACGTTAAGATGGTTGGGATATGTCAGTGAATGAAACAGATAATACTACCTTTATGGACCTTGCAGGTGGTAAATTAGGTAGAAGGTGGAGAGTGCAATGAAAGAAAAAATAAATGAATCTAAGAACAACTTCATGTTGAATTCTATTATCATCTCCATTTTATAGACAAGGATTCTAAGACTCAATTTATATTGAGTAATAGTGATGTGGAGAAGACCATATAAATGTATGCATTGAAAACAAAATTAAATATAAGTCTGTGTAATTGTAGAGACTGAGAATTTAGCACTGTGTTCTATTACTTTTCAGTAAATTTAAAATATTCCTATTCATAAGAGTGGAGGTCAAGGGTAGTGAGCAGAAAGGCAAAATTTAATAATTATGAGAATATTTAGTTCATTTACTCACTCTCATTTTCCAAGTGAGGAAACTGATACCCCCAAACTTTGGATAACATGGTCAAGGTCACACAAAAGCCCAATTGCTGTGGCCTATAATCCAGTGCTTTTCTCTACCAGACTGTCTCCTGTAAAAGAGAAACAGTGGAGAAGTTGTCTGATAACAAACTCCAAGTTCTTCATAGATTCTGGGTATGTAAAGAAACTATCTTAGATAATTCAAATTTAAGTTAGCATTTTTCACACACTCCCCCCAAAATTCAGTTCACCCTATAACTCCTATAGTTGACACACAATGTTACATTAGTTTCAGGCATACAATTTAGTAATTCACCATCTCTATATGTTACGCTATGCTCACCACAAATGTATGTACCATCTGTCACCATACAATGCTATTACAGTATAGCATTGACTATATTCTCTGTGATGTACTCTTAGTAATTTGAGATTATTTTGTTTGCATATATTCTCCCAATCTCTCTGCATGCTCTTTCCTTCCCCTACCCAACTCAGACCTGGTTGGATGGTTCTTAGAAATTAGAAGTCAAGGCTATGAGAAAGGAATCTATATTCACAGCTTTCTAGAGGGTCCCGTTTTGTTATAAATCTGTCCAGTTGTCATGAGACAGCCATGTTTGATAGGTCATTCAACTAAAATGCATGGTGGGACTAATAAGATAACACTGCTGCTGAGATAACTTCATCGTCAACATATCTCGCCATCTGTACTGCACATCAGAAGGGTGTTAGAGTGATATAGACCTGGCTACTGTGTCTTCTCGCTTGAACTCAGGGTAATCCATTGTCTCGTTGCCAATGAAAATGTCCTGTCCAGGTCCCTGAAATAGTCTTGCTAAACATTTTGGCCCTGAAAGCAGAATGGGATCAATAATATGAACAGTAATGAAATTTCTAAAGGTGCTTTTCTAGAATGGATACAGTGTTTTAGTTCTTTACTTGGGAAAATATCATTTGAGGTATATTATTTACAAGTTATAAACTTAAATCTGAACTTGGAAACAAGGACCAACTTTTAGCAAATTAACTACTTCAAGATTGGTTTTTATCTTGTCTATAATTAACTAACACTATTTATCTATTTGAATTAAGAATCTCTGTCCTTCAATATGATGATTGTTACCAGGCTGCCAGAGGAAATGTACTTAAATTTCAAAGTTATTTGGGAATTATAGCCAGTATTTCTTATCAGGAGGTCACTCTACATCAATGTTTTTCAAAATGGAAAGGACAAGAGCTTATTCTAATAAATATCTTTGTGGCTAGAATTACAAACAATTGTTCTACTAGAACTATTATAGTAGGCATTCTTCAGAAGTAGACATTAGTCTTTATCTTTGCATATCAGGAGTATTCATTCTAAATTAAAGCCATTTTTAAAATAAGTATATTTGTCTGCACACTGGGCCATTCATTATCATTTAATTGTGATGAGAAAAAACAAAACAAAACTTATTTTCATTGAGTTCCTGTTATGTGTCAGGAGACAAGGAGAGAGGGAAAGAGAGTGGGGAAGAAAGAAGGAGACAGTGAGAAGAGAGAAGAGTGGGGGTAGAGGAAGAGAGAGAGATTAATTTAATGCTCTAGGCAATGAATATGTTAAGTTTTAGGTACC